ATCTTCTTAATGTAAAATGCTACTCCATCCCATCCTCATCCCTCCTTTTTAACCCATCCTGATCTTTTTCACTATGGCCTACCCTTCTGGAGCCATATTCTAGCCCCAGGTCCTATTCTACCAAACTGTGGAGTCCAATTTCATCCTTGTGTTAGGATCTCAAGTCCTAGTGATGGAATGTTCACTGCCCTACCTAGAGCAGCCCATGTTTATTTGGGCGCAGCTCTAACCCTGAGCAAGTTCTTTCTATTGAACAGAAATATGCTTTCCTTTTAACTTCTACTATTGGGCCTACTTGTGCCCTTTGGGACCAAATGCACCAAATCTTACATTTTTAATCGTTGGAGAGCCCATGATTGAAGAAAGCTTAGCACTTCCCCTCCCTAAGGAATAAGGGAGCCCAATCTGCTGGTCTGCCCCTCTTCTTCAGAGAAAACGAGGCTGAGCTTTCCAATACTGAAGTACATAAGCATTTGTGTACCCTGCCTCATGTTCTTTTAAATATCTGAATGCAGTCATCATGGTAAGGATGCAGAATGGGATACAAGGTCTTAAAGCAGAGAGAAAGGTGGAATGATCAATGACTATGATCACATAAAGGATTTCAGAGTCCATTAACAAAGACATGGAACACATTTAGACAATGGCAGTGTTGATGATATGACCATCTCTGTGTTTAGCTAAAATGAAATGGAAAAGTAGGTCACAAAAATTGATGAGAAGAAGAAAGTTGGAACTTGAAGGAGTATTAATAGGCACATTATGATGTGTTAGAAGGGATCCTAGGTTGGATTAGAATGCCTCTGAGGGTTCTTCCAACTATTCAATGAACTTCAATGGCTCCCTATGTCTCCAGGATCATCAATAAAAACCTTTTGTTTTTGAAGACCCTTCCTCTCACCTTTTGAGTCGTCTTAGACTGTAACTCTGTTTAAGTATTCTACAATCCCCTGACCTTCTGGATTTTCCTCTCCATCTCTTCATTCCGCACTTTTGTCACTGGTCTGTCCCTCATGCCTAGACTACTCTCCTTTCTCAACTCCTAACTTCCTCCAACACTCATCTTCTGCAAGAAGCTTTTTCTAGCCCCCCAGTGTCTGCTCTCTGAGATTTACTTCTCATTTACGTTACATATCTTGTATGTACATCATTGTTTGCATACTACCTTCCCCATGTATGGTTTTGCCTTTCTCTATTTCCCAGCACACTGCCTGGCACAGAGTAATCATCTGATTGCTGATTGAATGCTTGCTGACTGACTGACTAACAGTAATTCTATCTCTTCCTACCCCTATCCCCCACCCTTGCGGAAACCTTCTTCTCTGCAGGCTAAACAATCTCAGTTCCTTCAACTAATTCTTGTATGATATGGCTTAAGAGTTCCCTCACCACCATGGATGGTCTCTCCTGGATCTGCTCCAGATTTACCAATCAATTTTCCTCCTAAAATGATAGTTCAAGACCCGAGGTCCAAATGGTCAATAGTCCATCCAAAACTTGGTATCCTTCTTCTTCCTGCGGGCTGTCCCAAACATTTCCACTGCTTCTGTCCACTCTTCTATTTCATTTTATACTCAACTACAAGGTAGAGTTAAATCTTTTATTAGCACCTCTGTATCACTTAATCTGAATTCTAAATGCCCTCAAGTGGCAGCTCTTAAGTTCTTCTGGCATAAATCACCTCTCCTACCATCTGTGTTCAATCCACGGAAGCTTATTCTCAGATCTATTCTGCCATCTGGCTCCAAGCCTTGGCATCTGCTCTCAGCTCTCTCCTCCTTCCTACTGGTTCTGAACTGCATTGTAAAAGGGAACCTTATAATTTTCAGAGGAAACTTCCTGGGGCTGAGAGTTGAGGGTCAGGACTTAAGAGACCATCCTTATCCACTTTCCTAAAATATACTCAAATTACAATGGGGTTTATCAGGTAGCTTGCAAGGTTGAGATCCTGAAGGACCATAGTATTTATAGAAAGCAGGATGTGTCTCATTGCAGAGATTTCTATTTATTGATAGGGAACCAGAGCCCTGGAGGTTTAGCCATAGAAACAGCAGAGCCAGGAAAAAGAATGGATCAAAACCAAAACGTGTTCAAATATACAAACAGAGAAACACTGAAAAGAACATTGGGATGAGAAACTTAAAAACTGCTTAAAACTTGCCGTTTAAGTAAAGCAGCTGGCACACAAGGCTTTAGCTACCCAAGGTTTCAAAGGGTAGAATATGCCAAGGACTATAAGGACAAGAATCACTAAACGTTCAAGTTGCAAGGGAACTCAGAGGTCAACAACTCTAACGGGGGTCCACTTTTGAAAGGAATCTGTACTATCTAGGGTCTGGGGATTGAGCACTATATTTTCTAAGGACCTCAGTGGTGGGTGGCCAGCATGTTGCAATGGGGGCAATCTGTCTATCCAGAGCAGTTCATATTGGGCCAGACTGATCCAGGGTACCCCCTGATCATCGCCCTGCAGGCCTTAAGCCCTGGTTTGGAGTCAGAGCAGCACAGGTATAGGTATCAGGTGCCCTTGACTTGCCTCCAGTACACAGTTTCAGGCTCAAGGCCTCCTGGGCTTACCACTGGCTCACCCACCTAGATGGCTTCCACGACACCCAGGGCAGGCTATTCTGTGAAGACTCTTTCTCTAGTGCCTTGCAGGCTTCTGACTGTGTCTTTACATGGACCTGGATTGACAAAATGCACTTTCTATAGTTTTCCTTAGATTTGCTTTTGTCATTTCTCAGTATAGAGACCCTATCTTTTTATCATCCTTGCTGGAGTATTTGTGAAAGAAGAGCTTGGCTCTTCTGATTCTACTTAATGACTCCTTGAGGAGGAGCATTCACTTGTCATTACCCTATAACCAAATCTGACCCTAGGCAGAAAACATATAAAGAGTTCAACCAACCTAAGAAGCTCTCTGGTTTAGAATAGAAGCTTCTTCAGAAAAGGGACTGTTTCACTTTTTTTTTTTGTATTGCCAATACCTAACACAGTGCTGGGCACTTTTTTTTTTTAACCAAACCTGTGATTTTATTTGTACAGTGAACACCAGGTAAGGAAATTCCTTCTATCAAGGCAGATAAGCTCCTGCCCTGAAATTTATAATCTTCCAGGGCTGCTTCAGTCACTAAGAGGCCTAGTGGTACTTAATAATGACTAAATGATTGGTTTATTGAATGATTAGCTTTAAGTGAGTCTTGCTGCTACTGGTCACATTTTGACCTTGATTCCCCAACACCTCACCTGCTGAGCTTCCTGACCTTCTGGTTTCATTTCTTGAAAGACAGGTTTTCTATCTTTGTGACCCAGCGCCTTTGAAATTGCATTTCCCCATTGTGCTCTCAAGGGCTAGTTCCTGCTGACATGGCACAGTTGTTGCAAAATATAGGTTTTAAGAGCTGACGCATTAATCATCGCAATGGTAAAATCAATGCCTCATTAACAGCTCCACAATGAATCGTGGTAGGTTTGAAAGAGCTTATCATATTAATAGAACAAGCAAGTGGCAAGTTAAAAATCTGGATTAATTCTATTGAAGAAAGTGGAAACATGGGGGCTATACAACGTGCAGTTTATGTCTGCGAGTCTGCGTAAAAGTTATCTGTGGAAGTCCCCAAGTGACTAAGTTGCCAAGGAAGAGAAAGAATCTGAATTTTTCACAAAATATCATACCAGGGTAGGAACTGGACCCAGCAAAGATCCTAGCTCATCCCGAGAATGCAAACAGATGAATATCTAAAATGATAAAAAAAAAAGACCACCAAAGGAAGGGAAAACCAAACTTTCCAATAAAAAGAACTGCTTCTCCAAGACTTAGCAAATATCAATGAGAAAAACCATAGGCTTAGCTCAGAAAAACCCTTCAGAAAAATCTTTTGGGACTTTTTGTGGAAAAGAATCCAACAAAATTGGTTCTTTCAAAGATTGTACTACAATCACAGTGAACATTATTGACCTCTCTGAAGATTTGTTCATGAGGTTACAATGTTTTGTTCCCTCACCTGCCCACAGAAACCTTCTCTTCTGGATTCATAAGCACTGTGCCCAATATATGAATGAGGAAATGAAAGAATAGACACATATGTGTGTATGACTGCCTGTATCTGTACGTGGTTATCTGTGGGTATAGCAATGTATGCTCTAAGATAATTAAAGCTTCTTAATTAACAGAGTCTTGCTGTTGACTTGGAATTTCAGGTTCATTGGTGATCTGCCCTAATCCTGTCCCCTCGTCCAGGCTTGTGTATTTAATGGTGTTATCTAATTCACAGAATCACACACTCAGATAATTGTACAGTTATCACTCTACTCATGTAGTAAAAGCAATATACTGGCATTACTTGACAAGTGTTATTGCCTGATGACTATACTCTGAAATGCCTTTCACAAAGATATATAAATAATCATAGCAACTAGCAAATGAGGCTTTGCTCATATATACAAGTGTGTCTTCTCCAGGATAGAAGGGACTTCCATGTTGTAGCCTCTAAGCAAACTCCTTCCCTGCACTTTGACTTATGGTCTTCCATAAAAGCTAGGACATAAGCTACCCCACTCTAGCATAATTGTGCCTTATCATGGACTTATGCTCTGTACCTGATCCCAAAATGTAATTTGGCCCAACTACAGTTTCAGCCAATTTACACGTTCCAAGCTAATCAAACTACTACCTCCTTGACCACCATCTCCTTCAGACATTGATAAAGTCATCTCAGGACTCTGAACCCAAGAGCCTTGGGAACGACAATGCTACCAGCCCAGCGCCAAGAGTCATCATCCTGGAAAGCAACCTTTATAGAGATGAGGTCTCATATGGCAGATGCTTAATAAATGATTGTTCAATTGTTGAGAGATCACATTTCTGCACTTGGATGGGCAGCAAACCCAACTAAAACCAACAAATTCCCAGGCTCATCTCTAGCCACTGAGGCTTCTGTTCCCTCTAACTTGGTCTGGTAAAACTGAGACTATCGTAGCAAGATGCTTTTGGGTCTTACCTGTGTTGTGTCTGGTTCTCTCTATCAAAGGTTTAGATGAATTGACGGTTTTATCAACATGAAATAGCTTCAGGTCTTCTTCATCTAGCGCAATATCTCCCCAAAAGACAGCTAGGAGGAAAAATTATAAACCAATTAGCTTTACCCCCTCCTCTGACAAAACACCAAAACAAACCAGGAAAGAAAGTCTAATCCTCCTAATAACAGGGTCATTAAAGGCACTCTCCCATCATGGATGGGAAGCTGGAAGTCAGAAAGACCTAGACTCACCTGGCCCTTTCCTACCTTTCCAGTCCTCTTACTTCATTCCCATCCACATACTCAACCATCCAGCTGCGGCTAACCTGGACTACTTGCCCATACACGATCCTCCACCTCCCACCTTCGTGCCTTTTTGCTTGGAATGATCTACCTCCTCCCTTTTGCCTCTCCATTTCTCAGCATTCCTTCAAGATCTAATTCAAATCTCACCTTCTAAAGGAGACCTTTTCCAGTTCTCTAACCTCCTCCAATCCTTTATGACTTTTCACTTAAGACTATGTTCCATTGACTCTGTATATGTGTGTGTGTGTATGTGTGTGTGTGTATATGTGTACACACACACACACACACACACACACACACACACACACACACAAATATGTTCCTATACTGTCTTCCTCATTAGAATGTGAACTCCTGGGGGAAGGTGGGCAGGGATTGGTTTTTGCCTTTTTTTTTTATCCCTAGTGCTTAGCACAGTACCTAACACAGCCTTGGTGCTTAATAAATGTTTATTGACTGATGTACAGCTGTAACCCCTAGGCCATTAAAGAGCACACTCTAGACATGCAGATAGAGAACTTTATTTCAATTTCAATATGATTGGTTTTCTTTGTAATCCTACACATATCGTTTTAAGCATTCAAAAACATTATTTTGAAAAGACATCCCAACATGCTTAACCAGACCACCAAAGAGGACCATGACAAAAAAAAAAAGGTTCAGAACCCCTCTCCTAGAGTCAATAGGGCACCACTGATATTTTTGTTTTTGTTTTTAAAAAGGGGATCAGTGTTTTAGGAATATGAGTTTGACAGCTGTGTTTATAAAGAGCAGAGGCATTCAACTCAAATAGAAATGGAACTCTGGCCCTTACTAACTTAGAAGACCACAAATGAACACCTATGTTGTATTCTACTTTTATTTATTTTATTAATCATTTCCCAATTTTTTTAAATCTGGTTCTGGCTGCCCAGAGAGTAGTCAGGGAGCTCAACATCTTTAGTATAGATGATAAACTGGAAAGTGGACAGAGTTCGATTCAGGGACCATTGAAGTCATGTAGGCAAGAGGAGATGAGAGCCTGAACTAAGGATGAGGGAGAGGCAGGAGAAGGCCAAACAAAGCCAAGAGATATTGTGGAGTTAAAATCAAAAGTCTTGGCAAATGATTGGCTGGGATGGGGGAAGTAAGGATGACTTTCAGGTTGTGAACCCGGCTGACTGAAAGATGGTGGTGTCCTCAATAGAAGAAAGGAAGTTAGCAAGTAAGGTGAGTTTAGAAAAAATAAAACAAAATGAATTCTGTTTTGGTCATACTCATTTTAATCTGCCTGTGGGACAGAGAAGTGAAGATGTCCAGCAGTAAACTGGTGATGTGGGACTGAAGCTCAGAAGACATAAGGATGGGATATATAGATCTGAAAAGTCATCTGCAATGGGGGCTGATGAAACCACTGAGAGAGAGAATAGGGAGAGGAGAAAAAGGGTCCAGGACAGAGCTGAAGAAAATACGCCCATGGAGCAGGCGGGATGTGGATGATACAATAAGGAATTCTAAGAAGAAGGAGTCAGAGATGTAGGAGGAAAAGGAAAGCAGGGTCCAAGGACCACCACAAACCAGTAATAGAAACTCCCTATCCCTACCCCCTTCCTTTGGGCTGTCTCTGAGCCCTGAGCTGCATTAGCTTCTTTGCATACAGGGTGTATTTCCCAGTAGAATGGAAGCTCCTTGAGGGTAGGAACATTTTATACTTATTTTAGCATCCCTTGCATCGTTGCTTGCACACAATAGTTGCTTAATTAATGTTTGCTGAAGTGACTTGAACAGAATATCATTATGAACATTCAACCTTCAAATCCTTGCGTTAATATATTGGCTATCACAGTACCTTCTCTCCAGGATCCCAAATTCAATTCAGTTCAACAAACATGTGTTCAATGCTAGGGATGGGGAAACAAAAAGACAAAAATCTTTAGCCACAGAGAGTATGCCTTCTACTGGGGGATGCTGACAGATAGACAGTTTGCACAATTTTGTCAAGGAATGAACTGAGGGCACAAGAGTTAGATTCAGGAAACTCAGATACGAGAGAGGAAGGAACCACCTAGTCCGATCCCCTTTATTTTATGGATGGGGAAACTGAGGCCTCAAGAGATAATTTGATTGTGCTAGTCACTCCAAGGAGTACTCAGAAGAGCTGGGATTTGACTCTAGGCTTTCTAACTTCAAACCCAAACTCTTTACAGAGCCACACCATAAAACTAATACAAAACCTGTTGAGCTTTACATGTTTCTTATCCAGGAAAATATATTATAAAAACCAGTTTAGGGAGCCTTGAATTGTCCCCTTAGAGATCACAGATGCTAAGGCCATCCTGTGGCAAAGCCATAACCAGGGTAGGGTAACAGAAGCTTTATCCGAAGGCACCAAAATTTAGAGGGTGCTGGCAGTACTCGTGCTCCTTCTGCAAGCAGAAATTAGTGAGTTTATTGTCAAAGACAATTAATTAAAATAGACATCCACTAGATGGCTTGAATTCTAACATAACTACCCCTGGACAAGTCACTAAGACAGAAGTTTCAGAACTACTCTTGAACACAAAGTCTTTTGTTAGACATTCCTGCTACTTCTAGCCTCCCCAAAAAATCAAAGAGAAGTTTTCTCTTCAAAGTGATCTTGGAACACATCATAGCCTTGCACATAGCTAAAGTGAATCATCCTACATTTCCACCATTCAGAACCCCAGAATGCTTCATTGCGAGAAATTTAGAAGAATAAACCATATAGAGACAGGAAAGTTGCAATCAGCTAGTCAATCAACAAACATGTATTAGGCACACAGCCAGGGCCTATACTAGGTACAAGAGATACAAATATAAGAGCAAGCACCAGTTTTTGGTTTATGATCCCCTGATTCTAAGAGGATTCATCCTTGGAAAGAGAAAAAAAAATCAACCAGAAGCAAATGCTGGTGATTTTCATGGATATCATTTTTTTTTATTGTTTTGTAACTTTCTCTAAGTCATTCCACATGTTTCAGCCTCAGTTTCCTCACCTGTGAAAGAGCCCTAACATGGCTGCTGTGAGGATCTAATGGGATGAGAAATTTGAAAGTATTTTGCAAACTGTAAAGGGCTATATAAATGTCATCTACTATTTCTCTCCCACATCTGCCCCCTGGAGAATGTCATTCAGTAATGGGAAGGGACCAGAGGCTAGTAACCTCCGTGGGAACTACATGCCAACCTCACCATATCCTAACGAGCCATGAGGTGCCCAAGCAGACGAACCAAGACAATGCTGCTGATTCTCCTGGCCTCCCTCACCAGGCCCCCATTCCAATCTTAGAAGCCAGCTGAGCTTCTCAGTCCTCTTCTTACACCAAGCATCAATATATAATCCACCGAAGGCCTTTCAGATAGCTTCTCCATTCTAGAAGCTACTGTCACCATAACTAAACAAGGACTATTAATTAGCTATGAATACTGTATAAGACTTTCCCAAGGCCACTCCCAGAAGCACATGCATTATTCACTGGGAAAGGGTCAAATGTCAGAAAAATGGCCCAGGGCCAGCTGGGCAGGCTGCCTTGCTGGGCTAAGAAGTGGCTTCACTTCAAAATATGAGGTTGGAGTTTAACACCCTGGGCAAATCCAGGTTAGGTCTCACAAAATTCTCTTAGGATCAGAGGATTCTAGACTGAGTACTAGAAAGGACCCCAGAAGTCATGTAGGCCAAACCCCTCATTCTACAAATAGGGAAACTGAAGCCTAATGAGGTCAAGTAACTGTTTGAGGTCACAATCAACAATCAATCCCTAAACTTTTAAAAAAATGTTTGTTCATTTTAAACTTAAATACAAAATGATGGGGATGGTAAAAAATATTTCCATGTACACAGAAGCACATAGAAATTTTAATATAAAACAATACATTTCCATTTTTTAAAAAAATCTATATAATAAATACTGCACATTGTTTTCAAAACTACCCAGCTTTTCTGTGCTTCCAAGTTTTCTTTTGTTCTCTGCTGTGCACTTTTTTTTTTCTTCCTCCCTCCCCTCCAGGCTACAATTAAACACAAATATACATGCATTACATATATACCTACATACATATGCACATATGCATCCATAAACATATATATAAGACCATACCATATTAAGCACCTACTGTGTTCCAGGCACTGAGTTTCAGCATACACAGGTAGTGACAGAGCAGGGATTAAATCCCAGGTCTTCTGACTTCAGAGGACACTTCTCTACTTGGTTGCTTCCTTCCAATCCATCAACAAAATATAGTATTCACTGGTCTTTTTCTACAGGCATAAGACCGTGCTTGGCACCACAGAGGATGATTAAAGAATAGGATAGGGTTCCTGTCTTCTGTTGGTCCCACGATCCTCGTGTGGTACCTCCCATGTGGCAGACACCACAGGTCTCGCTTGGGATATTTGCACCTAGGACACCTGAAAAGGTGTCTCAGTCCAGTGGAGGGAAGATGGCAGTCATCACTGACTTCCAGTCTATTGACTCAGGTAGAACAGCCAGAGTGAAAGGGGTGGGAGGAGAAGTGAGGTCACTCAGTTCTTCTCTAATACACTCTAGTCCCAGGTTTAGGGTCCCCCAGGGAAGGTAGCCCAGTAGCCTCCTCCAGGGGGAGACAGAGACCCCAGCATAAAACTCCTGCTGAAGAGGTCACACCCAGGGAGAGAAAGTAAACCAGCTGGTTATCTAACTTAACTCATCATGTCTGGATCGCCAGTTGTCAAAGTCACTTGGTTCTTCACACTCAGCATTCAGAATGATGAATACTGGGAGCTGGGGTGCTACCTCCTAAAGGAATCT